GTCAACAGCTAGGAGGTCATTAGCCTGAAGTGTAAGTGGTAATCTTTGTCTGGCTGTGTGTCGGAGGGGTGAGCGGGTGAACTCGCAAGCGCTGGATGGTAAGATCCGGTGCTGGACTTAACGTCGCTAGCGAGGTTTGTGGCCCGCAACCAGTTATCGTCCGGCAGAGGGGCACTGCCTCAGGTCGGGGACATAGAGCTCCGTGCATTCGATACGGTTTCGGCATTGTGTATGTAGTGCACGGGAAGCGCGTGTGTTTACGTAAAGGGTAGCGGTATGGGACAGAAAAGGGACAAGGAGGCATGGGAGGAAGATCCGGCGGCTCGAGTTTTCGGTGGACCCGTTTTGTTAGAAACGACGGGAATACTTGCGGATAAGAGAGCCACTGCGTAAAAAGAATTTTCCTAAACAGCTTGGACGAAATCGATTCTAGTTAGTGGTCGAATGATCTCGTTGCTATCTTTCGGAAAGGCTTGAATGTAGGGATTGGCGGGGTTACAACGCTGTAGTGAAAGATCTAGTGCTGCCGGCTCTGGGAAGCTCTCTTTCGCTGGGGTTTGCCTAGGGGGGGAGCTATCTTCTAGGGTAACAGGGGTAAGTCGTATCGCTTGTTAGTGTCGGATTTGATCATAAGTGAAAAGCTTTGAGGTCCTTGAATTGTTTGTTTATTGGATGACAATTATATCTTTATCAGGTGTGAAACTCCGTACGATGCACTATTTTTAAAGTAAAGACGCTAAGTCTCGACTCACAGTACTCGACGGGAGAATGGGGGGCGCCGGGCGCGGCGAGCACGTATGCGGCAGAGGGTCGATGGCCCAGTGGTCACTGGCCGGCGGCGGCGGGTGCTCTACGCGCAGCGCCGCGCGAACACGTGCTTCTCGAAGCCCACGCGCGCCTGGCTCCTGGGGGCGGTGGAGACGTAGCTCAGCCCGACAGTCCACATGTATGCTCCCAGCCGCAACGGGACGTCCAGCCGCTGGTGCTTGTAGTTGTAGTTCAGGCACGGGAAGTACGGTCGAAGCTGCGTGTGGGCGAACAGCCAAGCGTATTTGGCGTGCGTCAACCATAGCAGGATCCGAGCGGGCGACAGCGAAGTGGGGTAAGGCGGCTGCGGCAGCTTTGTGGAGAAGCGGCGGCGTCCAGCTCGTAGCCCTTTGCCGCGTCTGCGCACGGTCACGGGAGTTGTGTATAACCGGACTTGACGGAAATAAAGAGCTGTTCGTTGCGGAAGTCATCCAATGCGGTGTGGAGACGTTTAAGTGGACAGGTGGGAGTGGAGGGGTGCTGGGTTAGCGGGGGCGTTTGAGCTCACGATGGGGATGATACCAAGGCAGTTGGCAGGTGATGACACGTCAAGTGGGCAGCGGATCTAAAATGAGTAAAGCTTACTAATATGTGGCGGTATTAAAATGGGAATGGTGTATCATTGCGCAGTGGCAGTTTCAGCAATTCGCTATCGGAGGTGTGAGCGACTAAGAGGGGGGAATTTAAAATAATAGTCAGGCGGAGAATGTATTGCGGTAGTCGTTGATAGCGGCTTCTGATTGATCAATCACAAGAGTATGATATAGGTTAGTCACTAGTTTTCTTTTGGGTTTGGTAGGTGAATTTCTATGAGTATTAGGTTTCTTAAATCGGCAATTAATCAGTTCAGAATGTACTGGGGGCCCAATTTACTTTAACAGAATGTATAGTTTAGGTGACGAATTATGATGTTGAGGTGGAGGTGGTTAATTGCCGGGACTCAATTCAAATAAAAGATAGTTGTCTAAACAACAGGAGGGATACTTCAACAATGTTACCGGAAAAGGGCATTTCCATTCTTCGAAAATTGTTTTCAGGTGTTGTTATATCCTCAAAATCTATTTTTAAGGAATAGTTTTTTTGTTAGAAGGAAAAAATCTATCTACGTAATTGGGTAAGTTTTATGGAAAGCGGGGAAGTATAAAATTTCAATTTTTGAAATTTTCGAAGATAAATGAGAAGTTTGCAACGAGAAAAATGAAGTACTGTGCAGATTACTCTTAAACGGTCGTGGAAATCTATCCAAGCGGTGACATTTTCTGTAATGTCATGGGGTTCACGTTAAAGTTAAAATTATCTGGTTTCAGATTCCCAGAGGAATATTAAATCATGTTGGTTTCAAATCATAAGGCAATTTACTAATGACACGGAATTTATTCGTATTAACGGAAACTGGTGACTGGGAGACTTCTTCGGCGTTTGTTTATTCCGCGGCTCAATTCAGATAAAAACTAGTGTAAATGAACGGTACTTGTACACAAAATTGCGAAAAGCGATTCAAATTGTTGAAAATTTTTCATGTCTTTTGCAAATCTATTTTTAAGGAATATATTCATAGTGGGAATATCTTGCATAATTGTAGGTTGAAGGGAAGACGTCCTATAATTTTTTTCAATTTAGCCATTTTTTGGAAAAATGAAAGTTTCAACGAAAATGAGACTTGCAAATTCTCTTAACGTACAGTATCCATAGTCAAATTTTTTTTGAAAATGTCAAGGGGCTTGTCATGGTACTATTAAATGACACGTTTATGTGTAATGTGGGTAGATGGGTATAGAGTGAAATTGTTAGAAGTTATTAGGTAGGATCTAGTCAGACAGGTTTGAGAAGGCGCGGGCGCACAGTCAGGGGAATTATTGGGTTTTAACGAACTGTTACCTATTACTCGGGCGTTTGTTCATTATCGACTCATTAAATAAAGAATAGTGCTACAACTGAACGTACTTGTACTCAAAATTATCGTCGAAAGGCATTCAATTTTCGAAATTTTTTTCCATGTTGTGGTTATTGTTCAATTAAAATCTATTTTTAAGGATATATTTCATAAGGGGATAAAATGATATTTTGCATAATTATAGTTTAAGAAGACGCAAATTTGTTTTTCAATTTTAGCAATTTTTAGGAAAAATGAAAGTTTGCAACGAAGAAATTGAGATAACTTGCAGCCATTCTCTTAAACGTCAACTTCATGATCAAATATTTTTTGAATATGTCATGGGGCTTCATGTTCATGTTAAAATAATGTGGTTTCAGATTCCCCAAAATATTAATCGATTTGGTTCAAAGTTAAAAGGGACAATTTACCTTTACAGAATTATTTGTTTAAACGGAAATGGGTTTACTGGGCGTTTGTTAATTCCGTCTCGTTAAAGATAAAAAAGCAGGAGCTACGTGGAAAATGTAAGTCATGGATGATGAAAAGTCTCACTCGGTCAGGTGAAAGGGCTTGGCGGAGCTGGTTAGACGAAGGGCCGCCATGCCTCGAGCACGCGCGGCGCAGCGCGGGCAGAAGCCTCGTTCTCGATGTCGGGCGTGTGCATTTGTCGAAGGATCCGTCAGCACACGTGGTTCGGGCGCAGGGACGGCGTTCCTGTCATCGGCAGCGCGCGTCGCAGCAGGTACGTTGTCAGCGTCCACCGTGGATGCGGCTTGCTGTTGTCTAGGAAGTAGCGAATCCGTTACGCGCCGCTCCAAGTCAGGTGCTTCAGGCGGGACGTGATGAGCTTGGCAAACACACACCACACACAGCCTCCATGTGGGGTATTGTGCGGTTGTCGGGGTGAGTGAGGCATAATACGTTATAAAGATTTATTCATTTCTGTACAATATAAATTAATGATTTTAATTTTTGGATATCATTTCATTTATTATAAAATAAGGGACATGGAATATAAGCTACAACTTACCTATATTTCTGTGGAATGTTTATCTAGCGAACCTGACAGATAATTCGCCAAAAGAACTCTTCTCAGATTTCTAAGTTATTTGTTTGCCATTATACTTTATGGAGTGAGAGATGGATAACATCGATTCCGCGAATTTGGATCTGCAGAAACGAGATTTTTCGTTTTGGCGGATATTACTATTAGACACAAAAAAGTGTGATAATCAAGAAGAATAAATTTTGAGTGTTATATGATACCATAAAACGAAGTATGAGAAAACGGAAAGGTATGTCTGGAGAATAACCAGAAAAATATATATATATATATATATATATATATATATATATATATATATATATGCAAAAAAGAACGGAGACATAGGAAGCGGAAAAAAACTGCAAACTTATTCCATGGATATATTTGATTTCAATATTTGTTCCAGTTTAGAAATTTTGTTCCACATTAACTCATCAAATTTATTCAGCACGCCACCCCTACTAGAGCACCTGACTCCCACTAGGCCGTCCGAATCCCACTAGGCTCGGAGCGTCGAACTCTTAATTTTTGATTAATTGATTCGTTATTCCGAGCGCGTCAACAGCTGAGGTCATTAGACCCTGAAGTGTAGTGTATGCTTTTTGCTTGGGAGGTGGCGGTGAACTCCCCCGCTGGATGGTAAGATCCGGTGCCGACTTACCGTCGGCTAGCGAGGTTTTCCCCAACCAGTTATCTCCCACCAGGAGGCACCGCCTCAGTCGGGACAAGCTCCGTGCTCCGTACCGGTCTTCCGGCATTTGTGGTAATGTAGTGCACGCGTGTGTGTTTACGTAAAGGGTACGGCATGGGACAAGGGACAAGGCATGGGAAGGAAAGATCGCGCTCGTTTCGTGGCCCGTTTGTTAGGAAACGACGGAATACTACCGATAAGAGCAGCCAACTGCTAGAATTTTCCTCCAAACAGCTACGAAACTCGATCTAGTTAGTGTCGAAATCCTTGCCATCTTCGGAGCTTGAATGTAGGATCTCCTGGTTACAAGCACTGTAGTGACATCAGTTGCTGCCCTGAGCTACTCTTCCTGGGTTGCTCAGGGGAGCTACTCTTCCTGGTAACACGGTAGTCGGTATCCCTTGTTATAGTCGGATTTGATCATAGTGACACTTGAAGGTCACTTGAATTGTTTGTTTATTGGATGACAATGTACCTATCTCATTCCAGTGTGTGAACTCGACGTGCCACTATGTTTAAAGTAAGACGCTACTCACCTCCACGTACTCGACGGAGAACTGGGCGGCGCCGGCGCGCGACACGTATCCGGCGAAGTCGATGGCCCAGTGGCACTGGCCCGCGAGGCGCGCGGTGCCCACGCGCAGCGCCGCGCGGAACACGTGCTTCTCGAAGCCCACGCGCGCCGCGCCCGCGCGGTGGAACGTGCTCAGCCCCGACAGCCACATGTTGCTCAGCCGCACCGACGTCAGCCCCGTGCTGTAGTTGTAGTCCGGCACCGGGTACGGGTCGAAGCCCATGTGCGACACCAGCTTGCGTGCGTCCCACACCAGCAGGTCGAGCGGCGACAGCGAGTTGGGGAAGCGCTGCGGCAGCTTGGAGCAGCGCGCGTCCAGCTCCGACAGCACCTTCTGCCGCGCCTGCGCACGGCACGGGAGTTATTTAACCGTGCACTTGACGGAAATCAGCTGTTCGTTGCTTCATCCAATCGGGAGTTTGAACGTTTCCATAGTGACGTCGCTGTAGCGACATTTAAGCTCACGATGGGATGATACCGCATCAGCTGATGACACGTCAAGTGCACGACTAAAACAGCTTACTATATGGCCAGGATTAAAAGAGAATGGTGTATCATTGCGCAGTTCGCAGTTTCAGCCAATCGCCATTCAAGGAAGGTGTGACGCGACCTAAAGAGGGAATTTTAATAATAGTCAGGCGGAGATTCAAACTTAAGTTTAACAAGCATTTTTTTCTTGTTGTAAGTGAATTTCTATGAGTATTAGTTTCTTAAATCGCCATTATCATTCAATACTGACCAATTTACTTTACAGAATTATAGTTTAACGTGACGAATTATAGTGACGCTTGTTAATTGCCGACTCAATTCAAATAAAAACTAGTGTTACAACAGAACATACTTTCACACAAAATTACGCGAAAAGCATTCCAATTTTCGAAAATTTTTTCATGTTGTTATTTCAAAATCTATTTTTAAGGAATATATTTCATTAAGGAAAAAAATCTATCTACGTAATTGTAGTTTTAGGAAAACGCCGAAAAAAATTTCAATTTTTGAAATTTTCGAAAAATGAAAGTTTGCAACGAAAATGAGACTTGCACCATTCTCTTAAACGTCACACTATCCAACGTCAAACATTTCTGTAAATGTCCCAGGGGCTTCACGTAAAGTTAAATTATTGGTTTCAGATTCCCAAATATTAAATCATTGGTTTCAAATTCAAGGGACCAATTTACTTTACAGAATTATTGTTTAACGAAACTGTTACTGCGTTTGTTAATTCCCGACTCGATTAAAATAAAAAAGCCAGGAGTCTCACCGTGGAAAATAAGTCATGGACTGATGAAGTCTCACCTCGGTCATGACGAAGGGCTTGGCGGACTCGTAGACGAAGGGCGCCATGCCCTCGAGCACGCCGCGCGCCAGCGCCGACAGAGCCTCGTTCTCGATGCGGGCGGCCATCTTGTCGAAGGACACGTCCAGCAGCACGTGGTCGGCGCGCAGGCGGCCGTCCTGGTCCACGGCCAGCGCCGCCGTCGCCGCCACCGTCACGTTGTCCAGCGTCACCGTGATGCGGCCCTTGCTGTTGGTCAGGAAGTAGCGAATCCCGTACGCGCCCTCCAAGTCCAGGTGCTCCAGGCGGACGCTGATCGACGCCTGCGCAACACACACACACACACACACACCTCCATGTGGATATTGTGACGTTGTCGGCGTGAATGAGGGCATCACACACGTACAGATTTATTTACATTTACTGTACAATATAAATTAATGAATTTAAATATCTTGGATATCATTTTAATTATATAAAATCAAGGGACATGGAAATAAAGCTGAACAACTTCACATATTTCTGTGGAACGTTACAGCGAACTCTACAGCATAATTCGCAAAAAGAAACTCTTCTCAGATTTTACAAAGTTATTGCTTTGCCATTACTACTTTATGGAAGTGAGAGCTGGACATTAACATCAGATCCGCCGAATTGAATCTGCAGAAACGAGATTTCTTCGTTTTTTGGCAGGATATTCACTATTAGACCACAAACAAAGTGTAGATATCAGAGAAGAACTAAATATTGAGCCTGTTATAGATACCATAAAGAAGTATCGAGAAAACTGGAAAGGTCATGTCCTGAGAATACCAGAACATAGAATAAGTAAAATTATTCTTCAATATGTACCTAAAAAAAAAGTGTATTACGTCCCTTGAAGAGATGGCATGAACAATTCTGAGGCGGAACAGACCAAGAGGTCTAATCCTTGCTGTCGATGATGATGATGATGATGATGTACAATATCTACACTCCTATGGAAACCTTTACCGCTGCACGACATAGCCTTCCAACACCTGGGGCAAGCCGCCCCAGAGGACCAGAGAGGCTGATACAAGCGCTGCCCCGCCCTCTCGTCCCGTTGCGAAATCCACACCCCGCATGCCGTAGCTTGCGATTAACCGCTCGCGAGTGACAAAGAGCCGCCGCACGGCGATTAGCCTGAAACTCGAATGACCCGGCAGCCACCTCCGCCAGCCCGTCTCGGTGACGAATCACGTGACAAGCCCTCCGCGCTGCAGCCCGCCTCGTCCACGGAGCCCTGGGGCCGGGCGCAAAACAGGCAGCTCCGTGCTGTGACTGTCATTACATCATCCCCCATGCGATGATACCCGCGTTTCAAGACCACGCCCCCGCTCCCGCCCCGCCCCCGCCCCGCACCTTCCCGGAGGCCCCGAACGTCGCGCGATTGGCGGCGCCAGAGGACCAAAACCCTTTCCTCCCGAAGGCCGCACGCCCTGCGCGGTCCGACAAAGCAAAATCCTATGACGTCACAATATCGAAACGCCAATAGGGAGCAGTGACGGCTTCGACGGAGCCCTTCCCAGAGAAACCTAAACAACCAGAAAGGTTGCAGAAAACATTGAACTTGCAATAAATCGACTCGTTTAATTTCTGCATACCGCCAGCGCAATTTTTGAGGACGAATTAGTTTTCAGTGCCCAATAAGCGAAAGGAAATTGTTATTCGAATGGGTCGTATAGTAGACCTTCGCGAGTCCTTCAGTAGCTGGTGCTTCAGAGGCAATGGAAGCTTGAGAAAGATTGGGGGTACAGGGAATTGGGTGGGGGTAGTGTCCTATTAGAGCTTTGTTCCGGAGAGACCCCGGCTATTAACTAAGCTGAGAATACCGAACCTTTCGTCTGTTGTTTTGTTCGCTGTAAATATTTTTGTTTATCTTTTGTTTTGGCATGAGCCGAATTGGAGGGTGAAAACCAGAACGGTATAAGTGATATTTTACAAATTCTTAGAAAAATGTTTTTATTTTAAGCTATTTTCATTATTTTAACATTGTCCACCATTTTGCGACCCTTGCTGTTGGTGAGTAAGTAGCCCTCCCATTATCAGTAACTTGAAATCAAGATTTAATGCAAGTACAATATTGTGCATTTCCCAGCACAGTAGATAAGTAAATAGGGTCCACCTTCATTCTAAGAGAAAGTTACAACGTGGATCATCAGCTACAAGTGAGCATGTGAGGTTCGTCATTTTCCACGAGAAATTTACTTTGCACTTCTTCGATCAGCGCCTACGTATCGTACGATACATCGATATCTCAATGTAAACACCAATCTAGGTACTCAGAAGCCTAAGACTTCTATATCTCAATCATTTCGCAATATACATGCAAGATACCTGAACTGAACTGAATGGAGTTATATTGAATTTAACTTAACTGAATAAAATTAAATTGTAAAATTTAAATAGCAACACTCATATAACACGAATAAAGTGCATCTCTTCATTATGCCTAATGACATTGATACTGACTATATGAAATACGTTGGCAACGAACGAATATTTTATTGTTTTTCAAACAAAAGTATTGCCGTTTTACGGGGTCTTTTTATATCTTTCTTTCAAATTTGAAACTACCAAAGGCACGTGCTTCATGAGATTGCAAGTGTATTTTTTTCCCTCTCGTGGAAGTCAAGGTAAACAATTATACGTCTAAAATTATTTATGCATATGGAATGCGTGTCGTATCTTGTTTGTACAAAGTTCGGATCGGAATTGCTACCTTCCAGAATGGTCAATACCAAAGTGTAAATTTTAATAACTGTGTTTAAATGATGTGTGTATAATGTAGTACTAGAACAGTATGTGATAAACTCATAAAGTAATAGCGACCGTGAAAAGAAACGCATAAACATTATCGCCCATTTCTTGTTAAACATCGTTCATTCACATCTTCTACGAATAGTGCTAAAAGCAAATATCCTCATGTGCTCAAAAATCGTTAATTGAAAGACGTGAATTAATGAAATTTCTTTTTGAAAAGTCTGCACAATTGTTGAGACGTTAATACATTTTTTATTTATTAAGTGTTAAATTTAAAAACTGAAAGTCCATTAAGTGTATCAATTAATAGAATTACCTAAAAGATATTCAGGAAGAAAATTCTGGTCATTGTCAACTTGACAAGCGTATCCCCGTAGGCGCTCTCGATTACCAGGTGCCTGTTGATCGACACCTGTCCACAAACCATCGATCGCTCGAAAACGATAATTTAGAAGAAATAGAGCAGTAGCGGACGTCTGTCAAAAACGTCGACATTGAAATGTAGAAATATTGATGATCGAGGTACCAGTATCTCCAAATCTGTGTTGGTTTTAAAGCAAATGTAGAAGGAAACTTCTGTCGATGTAGGTTTTTTCTTGTCTCACGTAACGAATAATAAAGTTTTCCTCGCCAATATCAGAGGCATAGCTATCTCAAAATAAATGTTGGAAATACGTGAAAAGTGGTTTAGAAACACATGATTTAGTTAAAACTATGAAAATCATTAACTTACTTTCTCTCTATGTGTGTCATAAATCATACCCATATGACACGTGAATGCTTACTGTAATCAGTGAAGAACATTTTGAACGTCCATTGAAGAAAACATTTATCAGGAAATAACACTAAAATGTTACGCTTTTCGCTCAACATTTGATTGTGATTACATGTTTTAGTGTTTATTATTGCGATATTTTATGTAGTGTTTTGGACAAATGTAAATTTAACGAAGATAATTATTTGCGTGCGATTTTCGCAGCCAAAGAAATAGTAAAATATCTGAGGGAATGTATTCATAACGGCAGCACGAAAAAAAGAGAAGGCCTTCATATATAAAAAATAATAGGTAAGAGAGTTTTCAAAACCTTATTCTCCAACCTACATAAAATATTGTTCTTGTCGTCTAATCTTTTCATCAGATACTACTTTTTTTGCGTTCCTCAATTATATTAAGTTTCAAACATAATTAATCACATTATCTGCTTTTGAAATGGAACGTTGAAGATTGAATAGATTGAGTAAAATTCTTAACGTCAATGCCTGTCAATACTCGCGATCAAATAAAAGAAGTGAAAACAGTTTTAAGTATATAAATATTCCTACACATGTGCGAGATAAGAAATGAGAAATGTCACTCTTGTTAATGGACTAATTATTTTGGGCTGATATAGTGCTGTTTATGACAGTTGTGGGAGTGGTTATGGCGTAATGCATAGGGAGTTTAAATGCCAAGAATCTTTTCGGAAGAGAGTGTTTAAAGATTTCAGTTAATATGTTCGGTGTATTATCTGTTCATTTAATGTTCACGCATGTACAAATATTTTCAAATTATAAACTGTCATTAATATAGTAATATTGAATATAAAATATTATAAATAACTGAAATGTAAAAATATCATTAAAATAATAGTGGTATCTTATTTGCTTAGATCATGCGTATCAAATTGCGCCCGTACGAGCTATTTCCCTGCCTGATAAGCTCGGCTCTCCTGGAAATATCACCTTGACTGACTGCTTCGTACGAAAACATGTGTGTCGGATGTTTTCTATCAAATAACAGAGATTTGAGTCGTGTTTATATACCTTATTAGTGGAACCCGGCAGTGGTTCTGCCTTTCATCTCCCCCTTTCTCCTTCCTTCTCCATTTTTTCTCTCCGCCTCTTTCACCGTCTCTCCGACTCTCTCTCCCCCTCTCTCTCTTCGTCTCTTTCTCGTCTCTCCCTCCCTCTCTCTCCCTCTCTCTCCCCCTCTATCTCCCTCCCTCTCTCGCTCCCTCTCACTCTCTCTCGTCCCTCTCTCTCCTCTCTCTCCCTTTCTCCATCTAGCGGAGATACAACGATATATATATATATATATATATATATATATATATATAATGTTTATTTTGTTTTTAAATCCATTTGTATTCGAATCATTTTTGTCCTAAGGCAGAAATGTGTGTTAATGACAAATTATTTGCCTGTTTTCGTTTTGTGTTCTGTTTTATTATTGTTATTATTAATACCACTCTTATTGCTATTGTTATTTTTAATATTATTACAATTGGGAGGCGCGCCTGACTCACCGAGAGGTTGGCGAGGTCGAGCATGACGCGGTCGACGCGGAAGCGCGAGAGGCCGTAGACGCTGGCGTTGTTGACGGTGACGGTGGCGATGGCGACGGTGCGCGTGGTGTCGGGCACGGGCATTGGGTCGGGCACGGGCGCGCCCGGGATGCCCACCGGGTCCTCCTGCTGGTAGTGCGCGATGAGCGCGCGGAGCTGCGTCGAGAGACGGCGCTCCGACGCCGCCAGCTGGCGCGGGTTGGTGGGCGCGTCCGGCGCCTCGGGCGGGGCGTCGGCGTCGGCGTCGTCGGCCCCGGGCGCGCCGCGCGCTGACCGCCGCGCGCCCGGCGCTGTGGGGCATAAACCAACGGCGTGAACCACAACACTGCGCCGTGGAGAAGACTCGATACTATTATGTATTAATCAATATGTATTACTCGATACTATTAATGTGCGTGATCTTGGCTGTGCTCAGAGCATACCAGCCCTGAGGAAGACCACGACAAGATGGTCGAAATTTCGGCAACACGGCCTTCGACGTGGCGTTACCCGGACAGCCAAGATTACGCACATGACTCTGGCCGCGGAAACTTACGACTTCACTCGATACTATTAAATTTTTCTTGATGCACGAGCACCCTGGTCCTCACCTGCGCTGAACTGCACGTTGAGATACTTAGGTTCGAACAATCGTAGTATTTCTCGTGGTACGCTTTGGGGCGTTAAGTTCATGCCCACTGTTGGTACGCCATTTTAAGCCGTGACGTAGCCAGAACTCTCCACCCCCCCCGCTGTGGAATATCAAGAAAACTAGTGCGTATAGTACTATTCTTGGGTTTTTATTTCTTGACACGCGAGTCCGCATCTTCCCGATGGAAAATCTCACGGTATTTCGCGTCCTTCTCAGTCGTGCCGCTAGATGTCGCATGATCGCGACCGTATCGAGCAGTGCTGGCGATCGTGCGACACGACCGTTAAAGACACGAAATACCGTGAGATATTCCATTGAGAAGACAGGCCTCGCGCGCAAAGGAATAAAAACCCAAGTATAGAACAGGGATTCCCAGAGGTGTCGTATCGTCCCTCTGGATTGGTTGATTAGTTATTCTGGGTGCGTCAACTGCTAAGGACATTTGTTCCGTTAGTGTAGTCCATGCTTTTCTTCAAGAGGTGGCGGTGATATTCCTCCGCTGGATGGCGAATCTACCGTCGGCTATCGAGGTTTCCCCAACCAGGTATCTTGCGCTAGCTGGGCACCCCCTCCCCCGGGTCAAACCCGGCCTGTCTCCCGACATGTGTGGTAGATTAGTAGTCTGTGAATACGTGTCTATACGTGGATAGAACAAGGAAGAGAAAAGCCCATCTGTCAGGGAACTGTTAGGTATTCGCCTTGTGTTGATCGGAGAAACCACGGGAAACTCCCTATTAGAGCAACCACCCGCTAGAATTTTCTCCACCCAACAATCGGCTTAGGTGGCTCAGGGTATCAACTGACGTCACTGCTGTGCCGCTGTCCGGGAGGTCCTAGGATTTGAGTTCCGATTGTCGCAGGATTTCCGATTCTAGCTAGATATCTGGGTCACTTCAGCAGCTGCATGGAGGACAATTCTAGCTGCTGGTTACTCAGGGAAAGAATTGTTTTCTATTTGTTAGGTCTTGAGAAAGACACCCAATTTCTTTGTGGATTAAATTAATCACAGTAAAATCAGAATCTGATTAATAAATGTTTATTATTAATGAAACCCTTTGCATTTGCAGTCAGACTATTTCAATCCTCACGTCTCTCCAATCTCCATGATCGATCCTGCGTGATATATATCGGCAATGTAATGCGTGCTTTGTACTTTTATTGACTTTTGGCCAAAACTATCGGGATCTCTTTTAAGGCTAAAATTCGTCAAGATTGTCGGCGTATGATCTGTATTTGCTCATTATATACGTAGGCCTATGTAAAAATAATGAAAATTTGCTACCCCAAGAATGTTTTTTCTTTTCGTTCTTCGTTGTCTTACTGCTATCCAAAATTGTTATAAACGCAACTTTGAAAACGGATTAAGCCCGATTTCACAGCTACAATCAAAGATAAATTTTTTGGAGCAACGGCAGGCCGAAAACAAAAAATAGCCACGATGTCGTTGTGTATGCACGTCCAAAAGAATGTCAGTCATTAATTGAGCAAGTCTCTGGTAATTACTCTGTCACATGTACTCAACGAAACACTTCTCACTGATTATTATTGTTATAGATGCGCACCGTAAAACCACGCAGACGAGATCAAGTTGATCTAAGAAAGTATGAAACTCGACATCCCGTACTGTTCTGAAAGTGCGATGTGTGTCAGATTTTATCTTTACCGAAAATAAGAAAAAAGCAACGACTGTGCTGAGTGCCGTTTAACTGCAGGAGCGGTATGTTTATCGAACGAGAGCGTTAGCGTGACATTCTTAGCACGCTCTTGGACGCGAAATTGAACGCACTCAAGAATGCGGTAATTTCTACGAACACACTCCGTATGCCAGGATGTTAAGCGTGTTTCTGCGTGCGCTGTTAAACGCTCTCAGAAGCGCCGAGCTCAGATGCCAGTTTGAATCTGAGCGTGAAAAGGCTGCTAAAAGCACAAGCGCACTTAGAAGCCTTACGGACACAGTGGCTTGAGCTCTGCGTCGAGCCCCGAGATGTAGAGCATGTAGTGATGAGCATGCTGCGTGGAGACACGTTTCGCTCACTGCGTGGCGAATATTTGCTAGCGTAAGGTATTTTGAGTCTTCAGCCCGGTACCCTCATGAATCCCCAAGTTACGTACGGCCAAGCTGCCCTCACACGGGGAGCTGTCGCTCGTGACGGTTCGGCTAGTACTTTATCGCACTTACTTCGAAAGAAGAGGAAGTTACCTAATTTGCGCCAGAAAAACTGTACTTTTCGTGCCGTAGTAACGAAAAAGTGGAAAAATCTTGTTGTAACTGTTCCGAGTCCGACTACTGCGTTTTAATATCGGGCAGGTGGCATGAAAGTTATTATTACGTAGTTCAGAATATGGGCCAATGTGATTTGCTACTGAAACCCGGTGAGCAATTTGGTGAGATGGAGCAGTCTCAGCGCTGGATCTCACGTTCCAGAGATGCTGGAACACCTCGTCCTTCCGAGATATAAAACAAACTACATTTAAGGGACTAATAACAACACTATTTGACGGGTCTAGAATCATTCATCACTCGCAGTAATGATTCTGAACCTCAGAGTATAGGACAATTCATTGCATACAAAACATTTATACGCATCATCAAAATATATTGCTATTTTTTTACAATGCACACAATTAAATATTAACATACGAATATTAATATTAAAAGCAGGTTGTTTAAACAAGTAATTACACGCCAAATATTTCAAAAGTTTTAATAAGTTAATATATTGTTCTTAAACTGTTGTTTAAGATAATTTAAGTTTGTTAGTTTAAAATAATTAGTGTTGATGACATCACAATTTCAAATAAAACTGCTCAAAATTCTACTAGTAAATTGAAATGTATTCTCCAGAAGTATTCCCCACTTCATTATAATCTTCATTCTCATTCAACAAAGTAATTATAATAGATGTGAAATAACCTGTAAATACATTCCTAAAACAGAGACAAACTGTGACAAAATGCCAGGAACTGTTCCCCCATCATTCCAACAAAATGCAAAATTAAACCTGTATTTTCGTGCTCCCCTAGAACCTGCGAATATGGACTGAACCACTTTCACTTTCACAGTTCATGTTCTCTTTGACTAAATGATATGCCCGAATCGTCAAAAGCAAAGGAGAATTGAAACGTGTGAACAACGTTCAAACAGAGGTGAACAACACATTTCTTCGCGGTTGAACGATGAAAGTCTTTAGGACGCCCCCGTCCTCTTGCCTTCTGGTTGAATTACATTAGTTGATTTGTTTGTGTATATTGCGTCACGAAAGCGGATTTGACGTCATATAAGTTGAAAATTTGAGGTACGGAAATGAAACACGTCTTCCGAGTGACGGCAGTGAAAATGCAAAAAATAATTTTTTAAAATCAAACTTTCATTACTGAGTTTTGAAGAAATAAAATTTACCATTTCATTCCAGAAGTCTATTGCGTACAATCTAAATACATTCGCGTTGAGCCGATGTTTCCATTAGTAACTATGTTTGTGAAACGGTTATTTTTCGTTGATAAGGCAGAATCGCATTCTTCCAAAACCTTGATCCTTGAACACGTCTCACTTACAGTTTTCCAATGTTTAACGTTTCTCTTACCGTCATGTAATACGTGAACGTATTATACAGTTACCAAACATAAATAAATCCGAAATAAAAATAAAATTGGCAGATTAAGCTAATGACGAATTAAAACAATTTTTTAATAACGTTTTTCAGGACCTCTTTAATGTATGATTTGCGTCTCCGTTTTTTTCCTTACAAGCATTCAAACCTTCGAAAATTAAATAGTCACTATTGTTGTTAATTTTCATTCGGATTACTCATGATTTTAGGAAAACAAATGTGTTTACCCATGTATTTCGAATATTAAAATCTATCCGTTTGTTATTCGTGACGTATTAAAATGCTTTAATAAATTTGTACAAATTCCGTGGAAATGAATTATGTTATTAAGCGAGCAGAAATGGATGTTTCCACGTAAATTAAACGATATTTATTTTTAATTGCCCGGGTCACTATAAATTATTTCTGAAAATTGAAATGTATTGTTCATGCCTTTCGGAAGGGAGATATAAATTATGTAATCACTTGTTATTGGAGCTTTTTTAGTTACCATGTCCGTTTCCACAAAATAAATAAATAAAAATAAAAAAATAATTTAAAAAAAATAGCGCGTGAAAAGGGGATAAGCTATCACGTTTGCTCTTTAAGCATTTTGTACATTCTTGAAAATCGATTAGTGTATTCTCTTTGATTAGTGTTGACTTGATATCACATGTTCTCATGTACATTGGGAAATAAACATGTTTCCTTTAAACTGTGAAACGAAATGTAAATTCGGATTTATTTATGACTGGTGATATGTTCACGTATTACATGACGGAAATGTTAAACATAGGAAAACTGTAAGTGAGACATGTTCAAGGATCAAGGTTTTGGAAGAATGCGATTCTGCCTTATCAACGAAAAATAACCGATTCACTAACATAGTTACTAATGGAAGGACAACGGCTCAACTCGAATGTATTTAGATTGCACGTAATAGTCTTCTGGAATAAAATGGTTAATTTTATCTTCTTTAAAGAATAAACAATATTTGAAGATGGTTGTTGAATAGAGAATAAATAGAACATACTAATAACAAGTAAATAATAACGATTAAATAAGCTTAAAGAAGCTGAAAGGATGTTTGTAATGATCCCCAAGTGACAAATGAATGAAAGGTGGAAACATTATCCACAATCCCCTGCGACCGTGAATGTATCAAATTGAAGTACACATGCACTAGAAACGAGTAAGGGAGGAACTTTTATTGAACTGTAAACGGGTTGGAGCTTTTGGTGGGGATTCGATTGGAATTTCACAACCAATGAAGCTACTTCGTCGAGTTACCATTGGAAATTCTCAACGTTGTGTGACACGCGGTTGTTCACCTACTATCTTCCACTCGACTGAGAATGTAAACAAACTTGCTATTTCGCGTGTTGGATTCTCGGCGGCTCAAAAGGGTTGGTGTCTTTGGGAGCAATCACTCCAGCGGACAAATAACCCGCAAGCACACACCTTTACGTATACTTTCACTATTATTTAATAGAATATTATTTGTTTTTAGTTTATTTAGCAAAGCAAGGGTTTAGAAACGTGTATACACATGAATATACTAGCACGTTGTAGTATCATCCCTTAATTTTTGCAGACAGATCGTTTGATGTTTCGATTATTAAAATACGTCGACTAATTGAAGCGTTACGAGTGTGGGAATCAAAGCACTAAGTAAACATAACCCTCTTTCATTCGCTCAGGGTTAGGTGTGAGCGCATCATTCCATGTCATTGCATTGCCCCTGATCGGGATGATAAAGTCGAATTCAGCCGCTTTCTGGAGGAGAATTCTAGCGGCCGGCTGCTCTGATCGGTAGTTTTTTTCCCGTGGTTTCTCTAATCAACAACAGGCGAATACCGAAGCAGTACCTTACAAACGTGCCACGGACCTTAAGCGATCTTTCCTTCCTCTTTCTTGCCCCATCGTCACCCCTTACTTACACACGCACTTCCATGCTTTATACTACCACACATGTCCTGAGACACGTCGGAAGCTTAGAGCTTGTCCCTACTGGGGCGGTGTCCCGCTGTTGGGGGATGCCTAGTTGAGGACAGTAGGTCGGCACCAGATCTCGCCATCCCGCGGGGGAAGATCACAGCCACTTCCCGCGTCAAAAACATTTACTACACTTATGGGACAAATGACCTTAGCAGTTGACGCGCTCGGATTCACCAATCGGTCAATCTCCCACCATCGGATGGGAAAACCATCATCACCAATCGGATGGGAAAACCATCGTCATCCCTTCTCCCGGCTGCTCGCGAGGCAACGCGCGCCCAGCCACGTGGGCGGCGCCTCCGAGCGCCCGCGCTGACGTCACACGCGATAAGCGCCGTTCAGACTCAGAGGTCGCCAGTGCTTCCGCACTCCACGCCACCGCCTCCCAGCCCTCGGCTGCGTTCGTACCTCTCCACGTCTCCCGGACCGGCCTGCCTGCCGCCGCCGCCGCCGCGTCCGCCCCCGCCGCCGCCGCCGCCACCGCCGCCAGCGCCGCCGCCAGGAGAAGCCGCCTGAGCAGCGGCGACGTCGCCGCCGCCGGCGCCTCGCCCGGTGTCGTCCGCCTCTCGCTGGCGTCCATGGCGTCGTCCGCTCGTACACTGCCGGGGCCCCCGGCGCCTCGGCTGCGGCCCGGCCGCTTATCTACGTGACCCGGGTGCGAGAGTGGACTTCGTCCACCGCGTTACATCTTCGACGCGGGGAGGCCACAGACGCCGCGCCGCGCCGAGGACGATTCAGGCGCGTGGGACGGTTCCGATTGTCCACGCTGCGCGGGCGGCTGTCAGGAACTGATTCACTGGAGGCCGGACCTTGTAAATACAGAGGAACAAGCAAATAAACACTGCCGTTCGCACCAAACCAAACTGTTTTCAAGGTGTAAACTAAAATTGGGGTGTTAAATGAATGCAAATATGTCAGACTAATGACTAGGACGCCTCACCATTTCCCTACAATAATTGAAAAACACCTTTTATACAAGTCGAAAATGACTTTTATGTACAAGATTCGGAGACTTCAGTATTCGCATCGTACTCGAGATACCTTTTTGCTTTTCATAAATCAAGAGTGCATCTAGACAAGCAAATACATTATTGTTTTCTTAAAGGGCATGTTTTATGAACGTGGAGATAATCTTATTCAATTCAATTATTTTCCATTCTCAGTCTTGTTCAAAGGAAATCGCCTGTTATGTATTAAATATTGCGTTCTATTAATATTTTAAACCATAATTTTACTGAACTCAGTAATTGCTAGCAACAGCAAAGAATTTAAAGCTCCAGATTTTCTCGTTCTTAATTACTGTTTATTGTCTTCAAAATGTGCCACATTATGCAGATCACGTAATATTCCTGTTAGATGAAACACTTGTGTTCCGCGTTTAAAATCGAAAAACGTTTAGCATTCTACTCTCGAAATGGCCGCCATTTCTTCTTGTCTCGAGAGCATTTTGAAAAATAACTAAATAAATATGGGTCTCGGCTCTAATTATGAATTCAGCTCGCAGCTGCTGGCGATTCAAAACAGAATTATGTCGTAAGCTGCTGCGCGCTGCGAATTAATTTCCTGCGTTGTGCGTTCATCCCCCGCGTCGTCTTTCTCATTTATAACTTCTCCTTCTTCCAAATTCGAGACTTGTTCTGACATCCGCGTACTCGCAGCTCGGTCGTCGCTGGCGGAGATGGGGGCACGACCCCGCCCCCCAAATTAAGTACTTTGAATTGTTTTATTCTAGCTTCATTTTTTACTATTGACACAAACGTCGTATTAACTGGACTACATCTACCAGTCGGAAAACTTGCTGGCATACGCTCGGATGATGGTGCTGTCAGAATAAGTGGAGCTGTGGTTCCCTTCGAAGACTGCATACGGAGGTATCTTTCTTAAGAAACGATAGAATAACGATATCATCTATCACTCACACCAACATTTTCTAGGCCTTGAGAACCTTGGAACCTAGAAGATTTTGCCGTTTGGCCGTCACAGGGCCGTCACGTCTTCAGTCCAATCGTCTTTACATAATTGGTAGAATATGACGTAGGTTAAATCATTCAGAATTACTTATTTCAATATATATGCGACAATTTTTCGTGTTGAATAGTTTTTTTAAATTTATTGTCAGAGATAACGAATGCATTCATCGACCTAACTTGACATTTTTTCATCTATCGTTTCACTCTCAGATATCGTGCGTTTACCTTCAAATATCATACACCCGTTCGTATACTCCGAGTTGATTTAAAATAGCTTGACAAACCAAGTATTTCCGTTGTGCCGTTCCCTCACTTAAAGATTGTAAGTAATGAATACCGGAAGAAATCAAGGTGACATGTTTCGCTGCTACGTCAGAAATTATTCTCGGACCGGTAAAGGTTGTAATAAATCGTCGTGCTCTTTTATCTCATACGAAACAAGAGCAATGAAGGAAAACGCTCAGGGGATGGGATGAACGTTCCAGAATTTTATATTTGTTGGATCATTAAAATGCACAATAGATATGTCTTTCGGAGAGGCTCAATTCGTGCAGTGTTTCCACTTTAATATACGTCGTTGACCAGCTGTTGTTATAAGAGAATACCAATCGAAGCAAACGAGTTTTTTTTACCCATGAATTAATATAGGAAACGAAATCACCTCGAAAATACTTTAGTTTTAATTTTTTAGTTTAGTAGTTCCACATTTTGTATCCTAGCTTGGACTTACAACAAGTTATCATTACTCTCGATTATTTTTTTTTTCAAATATGTATAATTTAACTTTTAAACCTGCTAAAAATATCAAACCTTTGTCCGAAATATCTTTGAGACTAACATATACTACTATTTATACTCATCAATCGGAATAGATGTCGTTTAGTGTCAAAATCTTCGAAACGACAATGTATTCACAATTTATAAAAGAACCCCACATAACCGCGTTTTGGTTGTTATTCAGTCTGTCGTAAAAAAAAATATTTACAATTTCAGTGGAAGATTGCATAGAATGTACTGCGCCTGGTATCATGAGGCAAATTCGCTGTATTTACGGTTCCAAAATTGTATTTTTCCCGTAAGGCGTCCCACACACGTCGAATAGCGAGAGACCGTTCGCCAAAACCCGAGTAGTGTGAATGAGTGGCATCCTATTTGCCAAGCGGTGCACTTTCTATGCTCGCCCTGCGCGCAGCATGTCTTTCGGACGCCCCAAAGGAAGCGAACATTCGCCGAACACCTCGTGTACTCGGGGCCGAATGTCGAATATGTGGAGCCGCCTTGAAATACATATTAAGATAACGGTTTCTTAGGCATGGAAGATATAACTCAAATATAAACATGTATATGCACAGTTGAATTCAACCTTCATTGGGTAAAAAAGAAGATGGAAAAGTTGAATGCTTCTAAGAGAGAGAAAGAAGAGAGCGAGAAAGGGTGAACGGGAAAGAGAGAGGGGGAAATAGAGATAAAGGAGAGAGAGAGAGAGACGGCGATTTTTGAGTTACTGTGTCATTGAGCGATATGAAGAAAGGCTTCGCACTTCTAAGAAGCCGTGGTAGACGTAGCAGTAAAGAGCCCGCCAAACGGCATCGTGCGTGGGCTCCAAATGGAGCATAAAGCGAGACACAGTAAAGCGTCACAAAGCCGCGCCATAAATACCCCGAGTGCAGCGGTCAAGAGCGACCTCGCTCGCGAAGGGTGGGGGAGAACCACAGGCGGGGGAGGGTAGCTGTGGTGGGGGTGAATCGGGGGGTGGGCTGCGGGGAGGCAGTCGGCCACAAAACCGCTCAGACCTCGCATAAAACGCCCCGCCCCCCTTTGCCCCAACTGCGGCCTCAGGGCTTGTGTTGCCACGTGCCGCCACGTGGGGGCGTGAACGGCAGAGCGACCTGAGCTTTTACCCTTCTCTTTGCACTTTCGCGCAAGTCAGGTATCTGAGAATCGTCTTTTTTGGTTGTGAGAAATGTTCTCGCAAACAAGAGTTTTGTGGGTTTTATCGTACTCATTCAGCTCCCGTCAACAAAGTGCTTTACCCGCATACTTCCATTTTGTTTCATTTCAGTGATCTTATAATTTACGGTGAAATGCGGGAATTACAATATAATGGGACTGAAGTTGTAGGGACTCTCCTTTTAGGTCAAGACTTTAATAAAATAATGCATAAGAGATGGAATCTTCTTGAAATATAATCATTTTAAAGAAAGAAAGCTCATTTTGGAGTCTTCCAAGAAACATAAACCCAGAGCTGTTATTTGAGCACTTAGGCTCTCGAAAAAGGACATTTCATCACTTGAGGATATTTTGTGAGCATTTTTCAGTGTGTTTCGTATTTCAAAAGGAATTCTGAAAATTTTCTGGATCAATTATATCGAAGTACTTTCACCGTATTTATAATTCGTCGCCGCATTCTAAAACGTCTTTGTTCAGTAAGTATTCTTCTGCAGAAATACCATTTTATTCTTAAAGAACAGAAATTCACTTTCAATATTCTAAATTGTTTAGCTCGAGCATAATTACCCGAACAACCAAAACAAGTATTGTAAAATTTTAATAAGGCTGACATAATGGACAACTAATAACCTACTTTTATTTAGTTCGTAGAATCCAATAACAAATAGTATAAGAAAATAAGATTTATCTCTATTATCAATGCTGAGATGTCCCAGCGTATTTAAGCGATCTGTAATTCACCATCGAAATAAATAGATAGAAGCGCTAGTGTTGAGATACTTGTATTCCGTTTAGGAGTTGAATTCTTGACGGTAGGTCGTTATGTGTTGTACGTTTTATCTCTTTTTTACGAGGATTCTTGGACTGTTGACAACAAGTCGTGAAAAAGAGAAAGAAACGTATAACGTCAGGAATCCAATTCTCAAACATTCAAAAAAGAGATCGTGAATCCAGAATTTTTTATTGCGTTTATTTTGTTTTTGTGATACTATTATATTGACGTAACACCACTAAGAGAAATACAATGTCAATCTTTCCGGTTGGCGTTTATTAAGACCTCCGTTTGTTAAATATAATTGAAACAAATGCGTTCTGCTGAACAATGACATATGATTTGTCAGATTCAAAGCTAAGGAAATGAAAACTGGTGAAGGCGATGAACAATGTATCCGATTTTCTTCGTATCAGAAGGTAGTATGACGAACAGTACTGAACTTCACATATTATTTAGAGCCGATGAAACAAATATCGGACTCACTGGGTTATAATTCCTGGTTATCGCCTCGTATTGCAATGCTCGACCTCGTCCGATATTTAGTATTTAATGGCATCGGTAACTAAGAGCTAATTGAGTAAAGTATATCATCTCATCGGGTGATACAAATTTTTTTGTGTTGTAGTAGAAGTTTGGGAAAAAAGTATTCATTAAATTTTCGACAAGTGCCTTCCAAAATTAACCTGTATTGTTGAATCTTTTAATCTATGTAACCAAATTTTACTTAAGTACATTCATTATATCTTTGTGTGTCTAAAAGAACTTTATCTACGTCCTGATGATAGTAACAGAACTGAGTTTACCGAATCGTTGTACAATAATGATGTTAAATGTTTAGAATGCAAATGCAATGCCCAATAATGAAACTGTCTATACTTACGTAATGCTTCAATGTTGAAATGTGAAGAGTGACGGGAGATGCGCTGCGCTGTCCGTTGCAGACTCGTTCGTGAACAGCCAGGAGTGGACGCTGTCGCGCGCCGTGCCCGACCTGCGCCTGGGCATCGTGGGGTCGCTGGCCTCGGGCAAGTCGGCGCTGGTGCACCGCTACCTCACGGGCTCCTACATGCAGGAGGAGTCACCCGAAGGCGGCCGCTTCAAGAAGGAGATCCTCGTCGACGGCCAGAGCTACCTGCTGCTCATCCGCGATGAGGGCGGCCCGCCGGAGCTGCAGGTGAGCACGTGCATTCATTTCACCCACTTTCTGGAAAACCGGGGGGATCTGGGAATTTCGTCGCAGTGGAAAATCAGGAAATTTGCGGAAAAATCGTTTAAGTCAGAGAAAATTTTGAGGTTGTAATAACACTATATATTATTCCTAAAAAAGGGTAGTCCAGAATTTTGATAAATTAAGGGTTTAAAAAAAAACAGTCCAAAAACACAATTTTTCAAGAAAGCGAAATGACGTGGGGCGTGTATGGAGTACGGTAATTTTTTCAAAAAATTGAGAAATTTGTATATCAAAATTATTTATTCGGGGCAGTAATACTACAGTATTTGCAGAAACAATGCAAAAAATTAATGCGCTTAATCAGTTGACCAACTTACTGTTTTTCGCCACTGCTATTATCATCATTATCAGTGTTTTCCATTTCCACCCATCTATTCCTTTGCTACTGATTTAGTGACGCCTTGCTACTGATTTAGATTACGCGACCAATTTAGTGACGAAGTTCTGTTAGCAGGTGACTGTAAATATTTAGACAACTTCTGAAGGTTTCTTTGAGATTAAAGTGTGCTTGTCCTTTAACCTGTTTAACCTGTGCTGGTTTTGCTTCTGGACATAAATGTAACTTCAAATTAACTTCTCCCTATAGCACGTCATACACAGGTTTTAACTTTTTTTGACGTAAATAAATAAATGAAATAAAAATAAATAAATTAAAAACCTTCTTTGCTGTTACATCATCTTCCCTCTCTTTCTTTTTTACTTCTCTTCCGCTCTGTCTTTCCAAATTCGTCATAGAAAACATTTCTTAGGCGTTTCTTTCTCCTTTGCTTGCTCAGATTCACAACGCAAAAGACGTTTATGACACTAGAACAGGTTATACTCTATCACCGAAATTCCAGGACAAAAATACTCTTTTTACAGAACAACCACTTTTACAATGCAAACATTATAATTCGTTGCAGATTGAGATAAAACTATGCCTGAGAATAATCAAGGAAAAACCTTACATTTAAAGGACAATAGTTATTTTTAGCAAGAAATACTTTGGACTGTGTTTTTTTTATCGAAATCACTCAAATTTTTGGAGTTACTAAGAATAGATATGATTTTGACCACAGTCAGCAAATGGCGGCTATGAAGTTCGAGCAACAGCTTTAGTATCGCAAAATCCCACTTTTTGGACTAAGGTTGTTTCTTTTGAAACCCTTATATTTCTTTTCGTCGATTTTTTAATTTATACATTATCACGGTGAAATGAGAAAGTTGATAAATTAGTTTCAAGCTTGCGTTAATATTTTCTTTAAATAGTGCGAAATATTCCACAAATATCTTCAGTGAAAAAAAATACTGTGGAAAAACGGGAAAAGTCAGAGAAATTTCTTTCGTAAAATGTGTGGCCATATTGCGCGTTTTCGGGTGCATCGACTGCTTTGGTCACGTCTCTTAGATTATATCCCAGAAATGGCCCGTGCCACACCTCAGAATTAGTTAGGCAAACACGATGTCTGGCACCTGATAGGGAAAATGTTCAGACCTGTAGACTATTATGACTATTATTATTATGGAGATTGGAGTTCTCGACAATTCTAGACAATGCGGTACGTATAATTTAGGAATAATAAAATTTCAATTAAAACAGTACAATTTTAATTGTAGAATTTGAATGCCTATATTATAACATTGAATTTTATAATTGCAGTGTACATGCCATTTATTTTGATTTATCAAATTTCAAAATGAGAGAGATCCCATCCCCTTCGAATTAATATGTTCGTACTGAAACATCGAATTAGTTATATCATGATTGTTACGTGTTTTATGCCTTCTCTTCACAACGACATGTAAGAATGAATATGCCTTGCAAAAAACTGAGTTCTATATTTTAATAGCAAATCTTTGTTTTTTCTTTTCATGAGTACACTTCGCATTTTTAGATATTTTTGAAAAAATGTTATGAGCCTGCATTGAGTATGAAGTAGTTCGTTTGCAATATCTTGTGATTTATCTTCACCGTGTGATACGACATTCAAATGGCGTGCAAATGCCTAACTTATAAGATGTAGTCATCCACTTTAACTTGTCTGAAAATGAATACTGTATCACGACCACATCTTCCTTTTTTTCTGTACTAAAATCGATTTATATCCCATCAGACCAAATGCGACTTCAGACTTGCATAGCAAAGTTTTTTTTGTTTTTTTGTTTTTTGAATTAATATCAGAACTTATATTAATATCTACCCTTGCAACCTTGCAATGAAATCCTTTGCAATGAAATCCTCACCAATCTTACTCCAAAATGTAAATGTAGTCCATTCCCGATGTAAAAGCGAACTTCTGTCAAGCAAACTTGTAAACAGGACTACATAATCAGTTCTGATTGGATCAGCTTCCTCCAACAAAATAACGATTTCTAATTCTGCGAAGTTTCCTTCAAAAATGAACTCATTAAATCGGGCGATAACCCTGCCTTTAAAATGTGTCTACGCCCGCGCCTTAAGCGATCTACTTTGCAATAGCGGAGTGTCGAAGCACGAGGCCAAACGGCGCGTGCTTCTGTCGTGCTCTCGTCCTGGCACGCGTGACTGGTGGGCCGCTGGGTGGAATTCGCGCCCCGAGAACCGCATCACCCGCATACGTCTGCTCTGAGTCTGTGCTTCCAAATGCTGACCGCAGAGTGCATCACTCCATCTGAACAGGGTTGGGGAGCACCCACTGCGAGATGAATGGGTCGACTGACTCAGCAAGTGTCAGCATGCAGAATGGTGCTCTGACGATTCCGGAGAAAGTTGATGCGTTTGCCAAACAACTGCGGTGCAAATCTGAGCCGCTAGCTGAGTGTCTTTACTGTTAGCTTCTGCTCGATTTATCTTGATTGTACATTGATAAATTTGATCCCCAGGATTTTCATTCTTAAAAATAAATTTATTGAATTTTTCTCTTCATTATTTAGAAATTGAAAAATACCACATACAGAACTCGATAAACTTGATAAATAAATCTCATTTCCCGCGAAGTAGGACTAAACTAATTAATGACAGCATTCTAGCCACAATCATTTAAGTTAATCGATTGGGTCCTGATTGTCCTCACTTTCTTGTGTTCCCAATGAATTACCATGCATTAATCCAAAATGCTAAAAAAAGTAACTTTTTGTTCGCAAACCGATTCTTCATTTCATTTTGAAAGATTGACACTGATGTGTGACAATTATGAAATTTTAAAAATAAATTCGGAAAATAAATTGATAATTAAATGGGAGGTGCACTACTTTTATTATTAGTGTTTTCGACAATTCAAATTTTTAATATATTTGCACTGCTATAAAAATATTAATTTTGGGGAATAAAGGATTCAAAATGAGGTGAATTTTCTGAATATATTTTTTTCTGTTAAAATACTTAGTGGTACAATACGGAAATAGTTGTAGGTTTATTTATAATTATTTTTGTGATATTCTGTTTTTTATTCTAAATTCATTTCATTAGAAAAAAATACCTCTATTAATCGCTAATTTAATTTAAAATCGTGAACCTAATTATACCTCACGTAATTATCGCAACAGTGTAATAGCGGATTAGATAAATATGACGTACGAGAAATCGATGTCACCATAAGTAGCAATGTAACAATAGCAAATCGCTTACGACGCAGCAAACATAGGCGGCAACTGAATCGTCGCGAACTCTAGTGCTAAAGAGATTCATTGCTTCGGAGTATCACAGCCACACGTCATTCATATTATCACATCCCGCTTCTGGAGGTTACTTAACGTTATCAATTGAATTACGTTTTGTTTGTTACCATTTTGTTCGTTTTAACTTGTTAATTTGTTTGTTGCCGTAGGTTCTACCCAAAGGTTGTATTTTTTCACACAACAATTTAATCTTCTACTGTTGCAAACTTGATTTAATTTTAACAATTCACTTGAAATTGGTTTATTAAATATCTTCTTAATATTGACCACTTCGTTAAATCTTGTGGATTAACGCAAAAATGTGCTTGAATTTGTAATAACTTATTCTTCAGGTATTCAATAACGTGTTGTGAGTAGCGTAACCTCTTTCACACTGAGCAGGTCACGATTCCCCAAAAGACGCACACACTGTTAGCGTGATGTAACTAACTGGCCGTATTACTGGCCCAAGTTGCAAACGGCCTTGGGTAATCTACCATTGACGCTTACTCTTCGTCACTCTGACGTATGGGTAACTGCAAAACAAATGATATTGACTTTGCCATGCGCATCGTTGTCTAGGAGTGTACAGAATTGTGTTGACGATGCTTCTTATGACGTTTCGAATTATCCAGTCTATTGACAGTCTTGTAATTAATTTCAGTTTTGTTCTTGGTTTAATTTGGAATTATTTTGTTATTACTCTAGATCTGCTGTTTTTATACAGAATGTACAGGGAAGAAACAACGAAACTTTGAATTTAAGCTCGTAAGTCAGTTATACTTTTAAGCATATTTTGTCTTATAAACTCCGTCGAATGGCTGACCCGCATATGCATACGCACCTGCTTATGCATCCAAAATTTGGTTTGAAAAAAAAAAACTTTATATGCACAAATTTGCAATTCAGAAACACATAAACACTTCAGAAACAAGTAAATTGGTTATAATGTTTAAAAGAAATGAATATATTGGTTCACAAACAAAAATTAACACAGAAATAAAAAAAGCAATTGAGTTGTGTAAATTCGATGCTTTTTTATTTCTGTGTTAATTTTTGTTTCTGAACAAATATATTCATATCTTTCGTAAATAAGAAACAATTTACATGTTTCTGGAGTGTTTATGTGTTTTTGAATTGCAAATTTTAGTATATAAAGTATTTTTTCAAAACAACGTTTGAGTGCTTATTGAGACTCAGCCATTCGGAATATTCCAGTAGTTCATTAGCCAAAATATGTTTATAATTACTTAAGAACATATTTTTATGACTTAAGAGCATATTTTTGAAGTTTCGTTGTTTCCTCCGGACATCCTGTGTATTAGTTCTGTCCCCTCTTTCGGGGTTCCGCAGAAAGAACATAAGGATTCCACAACAAATTTTAAAATCTAATTTTTTAACATGTTCTAAAAGAAAAATATAAAGAGCAATTTTTTTACAATTTTTGTATGTCCTCTTAACCATCTTCCCTTCTTTCAAAATTGTGGCTGAACTGCATGATTTTATTTGCTCAAGAATGATTATTTTAATAAAACATTCCGTCGTTAGGAAATGATAAACGAAGGAAGCTATGGGGCAATAGTTGTTCTACTTGTTCATCCTAGTGGGTTGATGTAAGAGTTCAGAGGTTCTCGGAAAAATAGTGCTTAGTAAGATTTGCATGAACCAGTCAAGTTTGGTAACCTCGGTCCTAGAACGCAACTTCAAATGTATATTTGTGTATGTGTTATGCGTGCGGTACACATTTCTGAGTGTAGGCAAGGGAAGCGACTTGCTTATTTACTCCAGGCAGTGACGAAACAATCATGCCTTACGTGTGTCTTGCATCTGCAGCCGTCGACTGCGAGTTACTATATATTTGCGAGTTTTTGCACCCTCGAACGTTAAAGCAATCGCAGTCCAAATTTTGCAACACTTTTATGCATCTGCACTTGCGCAGAATATCGAGATTGCAGCCGATTCCTACCCGCTGAGACGTGCTAAAACTGCTTATTATCTCCTGGAGGATCATTCGTGAGTGCCAAAAAGGGGGTGCACTAAATGTGGAATTAAGGAGGAAAACAAAGACTGTCACCGCTGTTCAGTGTGAATAAGTCGTTAAAATGCTTTAGGGAACCTTCCCTATTCCAGTTTCATCGAATCGTATTTAGATGTGCACTTCTTAATGGGAAAATCACACATGAAGCTCCTAGATGTAGATTGTCTGTATTCACAACAGAAACTTCAAAAGTGGAGATCAAACTCTCTGGAGGTGAACGATCCCTAGCACGTAGGGATGTGACATTGACAACAAAATATCGATGCGGCGACATAAATTATCGCTGTGAAACCATCAATATTTTTCATCAATGATGTTCGTCAAACTGCGTTAGTAACCAGTAATGTTCACGGAGGCGTGTGATTTGAGGTATTTCTGTGAATGTGTTTATTAATTTTTCATTGGGATCTAACTGACAAAATAGAGTCAAAACTGATGAGGACAATTAACATTTTTTTATAATCAGACTGAATAATTCAGATAGTCTTATTATATAGAAAGCAATTATCAGCGAAACTTCTATTTTAATTATTTTTTAACCTTAATAACTTTGATCTGTAGAATGTCTAATTTACGGATCTCAAAATTATTACAAATTCTCATTATTATAGTATGTGGCGTCGTTAACACGAGGGCCAGAACCGTTAGGTTGGTGAAAGTACGCTGCGGGGGAGGAAGGAGGGGTTAAGCTTGAACATCCGGAGTTTGCGCTCTGGCGGTTGACTCATGTAGAGCCGCAGAGCCTCAAAAATACCGTTGGCTGTAAACTCCGAGGATGCTGGCCTGCGAGCCTCGTTTACGGAAGCAGGCAGCCAACCTGAGAACTCTTTGTGTGGGCGTAAACCAAAGGCTGGCCTGCGAGCCTCGCGCCAGCCGGCGGGCCTATCTATGGAACAGTGGTGGGGGTGTCAGCCTCAACTATTTAACGCGGCGCCATCTGCGCCCGTGTTCTCATTCAGTTTGCATCGGGTAGCTTGTACGCGTATGTACAAGGAGGGTGTAGGAGTGAGGGCGAGATGTCCGGAGAGTAAGGGCCAGACAATCTCACGTGCTGTAGGCACACGGTCGCCACGACCGGGTTAACTTTTGGCGTCAGGCCATGTGACGGTAATTGTCACGGGACAGAGGTCCGACGGCGCGCATCACGCGTGGCTTGTATTTTCTGCGGTAAAGCAGTGTTCCGAAAGGAAAAGGTTGCCGGAGTGTTTTAATATTAGCAATTCATTGTAACTTGTACATAATCTTTGAATATATTATTTTTATTTTGTTATTGAAATTTATTTCTTATTTCACTACGTCACAAGTACTTTTTCATTAAAAAATAAAATGACAACCACGTAAAAACATCGATATTAAAATAAACATCAGAAAAAATTGCGACCTAAAATAAATAAATAAATAAATGTCATGTATTTTTTATTTGCACAGTGTAGATGAGGGTTAATTGACCAATACCGAAGAAGTATTTTTTTTTTACTCTCAATAATTTACGATTGAAGTAAAGGTCCTTACAATCTGCAATATAATAATAAAGAGATCTCTGCTGGATTACATCCGTTATTGATGCGACTTAAAACAAACGAAAAACCATTCTAATTTCCTTAAATTTTATTTATTCTACATATTTGATACTTAAGTTTTTTAATTTAGTCTTACTGCTACAGGTTATGATTTTTCTATTTACGTATTAATAAAACTATATATAGTCAATATTGGTGCATGGATGTCGCGATTATTAATTACTTGCTTCACATTTGTGAGCAACCATCCAGAAAATGTGCATCAAAACGTGGACAATGTAGCGACGTGTGTAGACAATGTGACTCACACTAGTTTCGGCAAAGTGGCCAGATTTCGATTTCGAAAAATACTTTTAAAAAACAAACTGACATCGTTGGATCATTTTATGAAGTTCGCCAAATCGGTGTTAAATACATCGACGATTTTACAAAAACATGAACGTCGCGTGTGTACAGTGCATGCTCCTTGAAATGACGCTCGTGAACTGCGTAGTTCCGCGCCTCCCGCCCACCGCTTCCGTTGCGACATGGCGCGCTCTATCTGCCGATTCGCCCAGGCCGCCCGCGGTCCGCCCGCGGGCGCGGGGGCGGGGCGCGGGCGGGGGCGGGAGCTATCGCCCCCCGGGGGCCAACGACACGCGCCACTGTCACGACGCACAGTGCCATGATGCCTTCTGCGGGCGGGCGAATATTTTCCCGTTTACGCTCTAATCATTACCTCCCCAGGTTATTACCATTCATGAAATATCTGTGTGAATGCAGATCTTATTATACAGTGCTTTAAAAGTCGCGTAAACACCAGTGAATCACATATTTATCCTGTGATCGGTGTCGAAAAACGTCACAACTGCTTGTGCGAAGAGGATAAAGACGAGACGTAGACAAATTAATTGCAAAATGGTACTTTATAGAAAAATCTCTTTATTGTCTCAAAACTTCAGAACTAAACTATTGAATTGAAGAAGCTACAAACTTATTAATACTTTGTGTGAGCATCTTTAGCATTAATTAAAGAAATAATTCGCATACCTTGAAAGAGTTTCTTGCATAATTCGCCAACTTCGTCATATTTATTCAAAATGATAATTAGTACTCCACGAGTTGTTCCCTTGTTGTAGCATGTTTTGCCTTCACTTTATTTTTAAGAATACTCCAAATTTGGAGTTGGAAGGAGCGGCAGTCTTCCCTCGCTGGCTGGCGAGATCCGGCGCCGACCTACACGTCGGAGTTTTCCCCCAACCACATGTCTCCCACCAGCGGGCACCGCCCCAGCCGGGACACGCTCTTAGCTGTCGGCTGGTCTCCCGGCATGTGTGGAAGTGTCGTGCGTGTGAGTGTAAGTGTGCAGATAGAACAAGAAAGAGGAAGGAAATATCACTCACGATCCGCAGCCAGTTTGTTAGAGTGGTGTTGATAGGAAAACTACCAATCAGAGCAGCCGGCCGCTAGAATAGCTAGTGTCGAAAATCCTGCCGCCGTCGGCATTCGACGCCTAGGACCTGCCGGACTAGGCACCGTAGTGACATCAGTTGATACCCTGAGCCACCTAACCTGGTTGTGAAGGCATTTTATTTCGGCTCTTTCAGCCCCGGTCGTTTTCCCATTGTATTCGCGTGGAAATCGCGTCAAACCCTTCACGTCGGCGGCTCCGCCGGTGGAGCGGGGGCGGGGGCGGGAACCGCAACAGAGCGGTGGCGGCGGCGGCACGTGCGCCGTCGGCGGCAGCCGCCCCCGCCGCGACGCTTCGGTCACGCGAGCGCCCGCGCCGGGCGGCGGCGGCGGCGCAGGTGCGACCCTGCTCTCCGGGTTTCCGGTGCTCCGGGGAGCGAAATTCTGATGGTACCGGCACGCCTGATTAGGCGCCGCTAACGACCGGTTACTGGTAGCTGCACCGGTGTCGAACTCATCGTTTCCGAAACGTGTGAGGGAGAATTCAATAGAGCATCCGTATACAAATATTATCTTTTTCGGTATATCTAATTTTAGGGACACTGCTGCGGGTTCTATTTTAATGCTAAATTATGCGTCAGTATGTATTAATGTGTTACTTTGGTTTTTAATTCAACCGTATCATTTGTCATCATGGCAACTCAAAGAACACATGAGTGGCCATTCGATTATGTCATGCAATGACAAATTGTTCTCGCTTAACCATCTCGTGCTTATGTACCAGAAGTAATGTTTAGTTGTCACGTGTAATTAATTCTCCCTGAATGCTCTTTGTTATGTTATTGGACAATGTGTAGTGTACTCGAATTAACATCAAACAAAGCGCGATCCACGTAGTGATGATAATCATGGTTATCTACTCAAATACTTTACTGAAATTTACTCGTGATTATAATTTATTAGCAAAATGTTCACCATCATTGTCTCTAAATTGTTTATTTCCTGTAATCATCGTGAAGTTGGCAGAATGGGTTATGAAAGGGTTAGTACATAATTTCCTTTGTCATAGTGAACATTTACCAGGCCAGGTGCACACATCTATTATGAATTATGTTAACCCGGTAACTGCAGCATATAGATTAGCTTTAGATACAATTTTGTAAACGAAATCTGCGCTTTAGTCAGGTTTAATGCCCTTGTCACTGTGTGAGAATATGACATGACAACGCAACACGATACCAACTTTACGTTTATTTTATGCCTGAAAGTCCTTATTGGCTGTAATGTGCGTCCTGGACGACTTCGAGAATTTTCACGCAGAGCTTGAGGTGGAGGACCCAAACAGCCGGGTGCCGCGGAAAAGGGATGAGTAATTCTTGATTAAGAATTCATTAGACAAATAGTTGAGTGCAACGAAGATAAACCTTATTGACATTAAATCGTATATTTCGTCGAGTTATTGTACTACCAAATTAGAAAGCATATACTTTTCTGAGTAATATTGAACGGGGAAATTACGAACATGTATTGCGAATTGAGTTTCACCGATAACGAGAAAAGAATAATTTGTTTTAGTTCCAGCTGTTTGAAAACAAATCTGCGCGTGAGAATACGGCACGACAACACCACCCAAAACCAATCCAGAACTTTTACGCGTATTTCATGGCGGAAACCTCTTATTGGACGTAATGTGTGTTCGAACCATTTTCCTCGCTGAGGGCGAGACGGAGGTTCTAGGGGGTGGGGGGAAGGGCGTGGGAGCGAGGGGTCGGGCTGTGCGTGAGCAGATGAGCAGCCTCCGCCCGAGCCCGCCCTTAAGGGCTCATAACGTCCTTGATGGCGGGCTGCGAGTGGGCGGGCGTCTCTTACGGCCAGCTGGGATCGCGGGCTGAAATTTTTAGGTCTCTTTTATTATCTGTGTGTTGGGCGGCGGTCGAATCCGGGGGGTAAAGGGGGGAGAGGGTTGCGCGTGGGCGAGATCCGCCTGAGACCAGGAGCTTCTTTGCGAACGAGGACAAGGAGGAGGAGGAGGAGGTATTACCTAGAGAAGGTTGTCTATAAACGTGTGGTATGTTGCTGGAGTATACGCTGTAAAAAAATTTAATGACGCATTAAGGACAGTGTAGATTCTACGATGTCATGACTACCGTCGTACGGCGAGAGTGTTTTTCGAGGGTAAAATTCTTTTAACTTTTTGCCATCCCTCCCTTGTAGCCTCCATTGCTTTTTCCTGCCTTCTTTGTATACTGGTACTATGTTTTTTGCATTTATTAGTGTTTTTTCGTTCATTACCACGTTTATTTTTCCGTTATCTTTCCTTCTAATCTGGGTGTCTGATAGCATTTTAAAAACACCTGTAAGAAAACTGTTTTTGAAATATATACAAAATTGTTTTCCATAAGTTTGTTTTGGACGCTCTGTACAAAATAGTATAGAAATAAAAAACATAAATAATTCAATTGTTTTTCTTTAACCTTTTAGTTCATTGCATTAATACATCTCATAACAAGCTTGTGAATAAAATCTTCAATAAAAGAAAAGAAGGTAATTACTTGATTTAGCTGATCGCTCGTATGTAGAATTCTCAAATTCATTACGTATGAAAAACTTGCTTTAAAAACCATAAATAATATTTAAAAAACATTTTAAAATGCCGTTGCTTCGAGGTAAATAATATCAATACTTCGGAGGAGTAATTTATAAGTCCCTGGAGGTATGCACGCTTTAGAATTAACATTCTGTGTTAATCAAGTTCGCTTGTGTTTTGTAAGCAAGAAGCAATAAGAGAGAATTAAACTTATTTTCACGTGTTTTGTAAGCATTACATATTATTCATTTCTAAAGAAGTCTTTAGATAATTGCCTTTGACATGCTCAGAGCGGCGATAGAATGTAGTACCCACACCTTTCGGCCTTTTTCCTCGACTTATCAAACGTTCAAAATCAATACCCTCAAATCACAAAGCCGAACCGATTCGCAAATAAAAGTGGCAGGATCGTTGTCTAAACACGCCCTCAGGCACTTGGGAATGCAGTTAAAAACGAGAAGAAGAAGGAAAAAAAAAAAAAAGAAAAAATCGCCACCAACACGCTCCGACTCATTACCTCATCCCCGGGGAGACAAACCGGAGCTCCCCGAGACCGCGTTCGAGTTGGAGAGAATCGATTCCTCATCGACCATCGATCGGGCCGAGCGCCGACGCAACGCGTGCCGCAGTGCCTCGCGCCGGCCCCGCCCACTCGCGGACCTCGCGCCGGCCGGCACGCGCACTCGGCTTCCCACTGCAGCACGCGGCCGTCTGGAAACGCTGGGCGCCCATTGGTCGAAATTAAAATTGGCTCGCTTGCGAACGAAACACGACTTTCGGTTGTCTGTGTGTGAGAAAAGTAATGATGTGAATACTGAATACTGTATAAAATACTTCGTCGATGTTTTACTCGTAAATTATATCTGCCTTGTGACACTGACTGCCCCGAGGACATGAGAAAGATGGACTAGGACTGGTCAAAATTAATATTGCTTCCTATGCATGAAATATGCTTTTATTTGTTAATTAAATTCATTGATTTATTAATTGATTGGTAATTCCGGGCACGTCATCGGCTATCGGCATTAGTCCTGCAAGTGTAGTACATGTTCTATTGCACGCGGTGGTACTGTTCTACGCCCGCAGGGTGCCGACCCGTCTTGCGGGGGTTTTCCCAACCATCCGGCACTGACCCGTCTTGCGGGGGTTTTCCCAACCAGGTATCTCCCACTAGC